CCCGACGGCCCTTGAAGAAAGTGTTCATCGTTCATCCTAAGATCAAGCCCCAACGGCCCTTTGGATCAACAGCACAAACAAATCCACACATCTATTCTTCAAGATCAAGCCCACAAAAGCCCTTGAAGATCCTTGAAGATCCATTCATCAACTGTTCATCCTTAGATCAAGCCTCGACGGCCCTTTGGATCAACAACTCATCCACACACACCAAAACCTTGAAGCCTTAAAGCTCTAAAGCTCTCAAGAAAATCCCGAATGATCAAGAAAGCAATTTTCGTTCTTCGTCAAATCCTCCTTCAAGATCAAGCCCCAACGGCCCTTGAAGAACTTCCACCAACTCAAGATCAAGCCTCGACGGCCCTTGAAGAAAGTGTTCATCATTCATCATCCGTTCATCCTAAGATCAAGCCCCAACGGCCCTTTGGATCAACAACCTCAACAAACCCATACACCCATTCTTCAAGATCAAGCCCAACGCCCCTTGAAGATCCATTCATCAACTGTTCATCCTTAGATCAAGCCCCGACGGCCCTTTGGATCAACAACTCATCCACAAACCTACACCCTACGAAGATAGAATAAGAGGACCAAATTTGAGAGAGATCGTAACCCCAAAATCATTAAACACAAAATATTATTTTGTACACATATTCTTGTTTCTTGTTTCAGGAATTTTTCGTGTTTACACTTACATACTGTAAGTCTTTTATAAGTATTTCTTATGATTTCAGTGTTGTATTTTGATGCTTAAGAGAAGGTTTTGTTACATACCGTACATTTGATTTCATTCGAGTGCGAACCTGGCAGATTACGTACATTTGATCTCGTGTCAAAATACGCTTATTTGTGCTTGTTTTCTAGGTTGAAATTTTGAATTCATTAACCACTGCTGGGAGACCGCCACGGCTGACAGACTCCACGATCTGGCCAGAAACTCCATCGACTGCGTCGGGGTTTCGCCGGCGCGGCAGATCTCGATGGCCCCCCTGTCCCGCTCACTATACCGCCATTTTCGCTTATGTTGTCCAGCCCGCCATACAGTAGTCCGTTTATCGAGCATTTCAAACCGCAAGAGCTCACTAACATCATAACACACAAAGAGTTGGCTTACACCAGTCATTATTTGTCACATCCCAGCCCGGGACGGATCACTTCTCGGACCCGCTCCACCACCGTAGCAGGATATTGTACACTTTGGGCTTACCATTTTCTCGCGGTTTTGTTTTTGGGAACTCACGAGCAACTTCTCAGTACTTCCCGGGCCCGCTCCACCACCGTAGCACGATATTGTACGCTTTGGGCTTACCATTCCCTCACGGTTTTATTTTTGGGAACTCACAAACAACTTTCCAGTGGGTCACCCATCATGGGATTGCTCTAGCCCCCTTCTCGCTTAACTTCGGAGTTCCAATGGAACCCGAAACCAGTGAGCTCCCAAAATGCCTCGTGCTAGGTAGGGATGAAAATATACATATAAGGATCACTCCCCCGGGCGATGTGAGATGTCACAATCCACCCCCCTTAGGGGCCCGACGTCCTCGTCGGCACACACGCGACCAGGGTTAGGCTCTGATACCAAATTGTCACATCCCGGCCCTGGGCGGATCACTTCCTGTGCCCGCTCCACCACCGTAACACGATATTGTACGCTTTGGGCTTACCATTCCCTCACGGCTTTGTTTTTGGGAACTCACGAGCAACTTCCCAGTGGGTCACCCATCATGAGATTGCTCTAGCCCCCTTTTCGCTTAACTTTGGAGTTCCAATGGAACCCGAAGCCAGTGAGCTCCCAAAATGCCTCATGCTAGGTAGGGATGACCCTAACTATCAATATTTTTTTTACTGAAACCATATTGGTTTTTAATTTTTTTATTGAAATCTCTGAAATTAATGTGATATGTATTGCTATGTAGGTTACTATATTTTAAAATTAAAAATTGAAATTTATAGTTGTTTGTATTAATGAGATTTTAAATATAAAAAAGCCCATAAATTGTGGATTAAAATTATTAAAATATAAATTATACTCTCCAATATATTTTGTGTGTGTGTGTGTGTGTCTATATATATTTATATAAACATGACTACATTCATCAAAATTAACAAAAAATTTATTGTACCAAAGTATGGGTACATTCTTCAAAATCAACAAAAATAATAGATATTAGGCTTAATAACATTAGTAAATTTCTTTGATTAAACTTGGCATGGAAACATTCTCAAATCAAGAAAAAGAATGTACCCATATAAGTTTAAAAATGGATTAGAAAAAAATTGAATAGATTTTATATAAAAAAAAAAAAAGGGTACATTTTACATAGAACAAATTGGTATAGTTAAGAATTGGTACATTTTAAAATTAAAAAATTGCAAAATTACATGAATGGGTACGTATAAAAATTAAGGGATACAAACTTATTCTAATTTTTTTTTTTTTTTTTTTGGAAAGGCTTTTTAGCCAAAATAATCTCTGAGATATGCATAACTCCTCATTTTGGTCCCTGAGATTGTCTACCATCAATTATTTTGGTCATTCGGTGAAAAATTTTGTTAAATAAGGATCAACATGACAAAATTACCCTCAATTTAATAAACAAAAGTCCAAAATGTTTTGACAAAAAATAAGGGTATTTTTGTCATTTTATCCTTATTTTATGGAGATTTTCCACGTAATGATCAAAGTGATTGATTATGGAACCAACTCTATCGATTTCAAATCTCAGTGACCAAAGTGAGTAGTTATGCAAATCTCATGGACCATTTTGGCTAAAAAGTCTTTTGGAAATGTTTTGAAATAAAGGTGTGCGATTAAAATCCTAAATCAATTATTAATTTTTTATTTTAAAAATTATGTAACTAACATGTAAATTTATTATTGCATTAATCTTAAGGACTTTGATCAAAATCTGAAAATTAATAATTTTTCAGTTAATAAACATTAATAACTAGAGACCAGATATTAATTTTTCCTAAAATTAATAATAAATAAATAAAAATTGTTTTCTTACTTTTGAAGCCAAATACTTTCATTCATGGAGGCTCATTGGCAAAGCTCTGGCATTGAGAGCATCTCGGTTGACCTAAGAAAGCAAGAGTGACTAAATGAGATGATGAGGAGGGTGTACTATGCAGTACCTATTTAACATGGGTTACAAAAGTAAGTTGCAAGAGTGACTGAATGAGATGATGAGGAAGAATATTATTGTTTTCTTACTCCTCACGTATAAGGAAGAAGCATTTCTTTTGTACGAACAGACAAATTACACTTTGATAGGTATATAAAATTTTCTTTCTCTGTTAGTGAGTGACTTCAATATACTAGTGAGTGACTTCAATATACTAGTGAATGATTTCAATATACGTATCAGTTTCTGCTTTGCAGTTACGGTAAATGACTTCTTACATGTAAAGGGAATAGACATTTATTCTTTACAGACAAATAATAGTTTGACACTTTTTTCCTTTTGTGTTACTGAAATGCTTTAGTAAGTGGATGATTCTTCATTTGAAAGAAGACAAACAATGTTCTTATTTGTTACGAAAAATGTTACTAATTTAGCAGCAGTTCTAACATTCTCAAGCACTCCTAATGACACTCGTAACAGGAGGGACGAAAATAAATAATAGTGTAGAATCGTTACCCTACAAATTCAATGTACAAAGCGAAGGGACACAAATAAAGTTGAACGATATTCATCTTTTGTCTCCATTTTGATTGTTCCTTTTCCTTTTTCCTCACTCAGTGCTTTATTATGCATAAATATGTAAAGATCCATATTTTCATCGGCCTTGTTCATGATTGCTAGGGCTCCTTTTGTCACCTAAGTCAATCGAGTTCCCTAGTTTTATTAAGCATGAAATCAATGGAATATTTGACCAAAATTATATAAAGCATGAAATCTAACAATTGCTAATTAACTAAAATGTGTTTTACTGTGCTACTAGAAATTCTTCGGTAATTCTACAATTTACTCATGTTATAATGTATTCTATCTACTAATTTGATACTTCAAAACACAAACATGTTTACCCGCATCATAAGGCATGAATTAATAACGTCACAATGTTACAATCACACCGTGTTTTCTTTTTCTCCCACTCCAACAACACTATAACTTCAGCATGGTAGTAGTGGTGGTAAAACTTAATAGTATCAAGACCCACGCACCAAGAGGAATGGTATCAGCAGTTTGCGGAGATTTTTCAATGTATCCGAACTATGGTGGTGCACAACGTGTCTCTATATAAGTAGTGAGATTCTTGTGTTAAAAATTTAATAAATTAAAAAATAAAATTTCCCACAACTTATATAATAACATGTGATGTACTACTTGTGTTACGGGCACAAGGAAAAATTTCTCCAATTTATGATACAACTTTCAGAGTTGCTTGGAGCCTAATCATATCTTAAAATTCATGATTAATTATCATAATCCAAAAATCTTAAAAGCATCTCCAAGACTCGATAGGAGATGTCAAAATTCTAGGTGGCATGCCACTGTGCATATTTAACATCAAAACTTTCTTCAACCGAAGTGTTATTTGCTAACTGGATTTGAGGCTGTGTTTTGAAGTCAATTTTATTTTTAATTCATTTTGATGGTTGATCCCTTATTCCATTAACATTTCAACCAATAAAAATTTTGTTTTAACATTTTTTTAATAATTACAACTATTTAAGGCTCTATTTAAATAATAAAATAATATTTGACAATTCGATTAAAGAAGTACAAAATTTAAGGCTCTTGTAATTTGACATTTTCTTTGGAGACCCCAAAAGAAAACAGATTTTTCAATGTGACCAGCACACAAAGTGATACATTACGTGTCACTATATAAATGGTAGAATATGTGTGTTAAAATGTTAACGACTTAAAAAATAAAATTTCTCACCACTTACATAAAAACACATGGTATACCACTCATGTTCCCGTCACATTAAAAAATTTCTCCAAAAAAAAACCCTTTCAGCTTTCCAACCTCCAAAGATACCAAAGGAGCTCAAAATCACAAGTTTTATACTACAAGAACTCAAGACGCCGAAAGGAGTATTCTACAATGGCTGGAAAAATAAATCCTTCAATAACATAGAAACAAAAACAAATCATTGATCAAGTCCAGCCTGCTTCAATTATGCACTGCTTAAAGCTTCTACATATAAAGCTCGAAGAATTTAACGAGCGATAGAAAGAGGGATCTCTAATACCCTCTTCAATTGAGATCAAGACGCCCAATGAAGTTCTCCCATTCAAGATCTGAAGCAAAGAAAAATATCATTAATGAGCATTTTATGTAGCAAATGAAACATAGCAACTCAAAAGGGACATTTCCGTTGAGAAAAGGTCAGTGTAGTCGATACCTGAACTACTAGTGTACTCTTTTTCCAGATTCTGAAGGACCTGGTGAACATATCCAGGGCTTTGATCCGAAAAAGACTAAGAACAGAAAGCAACTCAATCCTGAATCGAATGAAATACATAGTCAAAACAACCTTATAATGCCGGAAAGGATTGTATGATCTATCATCTATTATCAGAATAATGGAAAATACACTTTACACATATCCACACAACACGATATGGGCTTAGTCATTTTTTCCACCTATAAACGCGGAAACTCCAAGCTTCAGAGGTCAGAAGTCCAAGCACATCCTGTGTGTCCAGATTTTGCCAGGCGAAGTTTTCACATGTGTAATGAAATTTGACATGGGAGAAAACAAGCAACCCAAACTTCCCGGCATTTGCTACATAAAGATGCAAGCTCTGGGCAATCTCATTCAGGTCTGTAGCTGAAGAAAGAAAACAAGGGTGAAGAGCTTGAATACTATTTATGCAGTTTTGGAGCGATACACTGAATAAATGCAAATCAAACAAAAGATAATCTTGCACGATGAAAACTCCATACCTATTACTTTGCTGAAGAAATTTGGTTTACTGACGGCATCCAACTGCTTGAAGCACCATTTTGATTCCCAACTCTACGGCCTAAGTCTGCATTTTCAGCTGGCCCCTCTGGTTTTTGAAAATGTCTTCTGAGAGTAAATGCAGTAGGTGGCGTAGGTGCATTACTCACATTCTGCAACAATTACAACCCAGTACAGCATAAAATGAAATACATGAGAACATCTTCCATGCAAACAGGAATAGATATGTGATATGACTGAAGGAGCAGAGCAGAAACATGCAAAAACAAACATTAATGGTTTAATTACAAGTTACATACGTGTTTCTCAACAGGATTATTAGCACCCGAATTCTGGGTTGTTGAGGATCTATATTGCATATGAACATCTGGATGCACATGATTGCTTGGCCGCTCGCGTTCTGTGAGCTCAGCTGATCTAGAAACATCGCCTGAAACCCATAAATAAAACCTTAGACATGAGAAATACTTGATAAACCAACATTTTGTGTATAAACAGACTCCTCGAGTAATGTAAGTAACAAGGCTCTAGTATACCCAAAGCTTTCCCTCAAGTGAAAACTGGGGTATTGGACTTTTACCTTTAAGCCTCATTGGTACTGCTTGACCACTAGGAACTTCTCGACCGTGGACTACTACAGGTGGCTGCGGTTTCTGAGATGAATTTAGAAGAAACAAGGTTAAACACGTAAGAATGAATACATCAATACTAGAAGGAAAATTAGATACACACGGAACAGAACATGGTCCTGTGCATACAATTCTAGCAGCAGTTAATAGAAGAAAGTTATAAATAAATAAATAAATAAATAAAATAAAAAATAAAAAAAGTGTCATGAAAATACTAACAGATGATTGACCCTGAGTCCTTGTCTGCTGTGCCTGCTGATATTTTAGAATTGTCCAGTCAAATATATAGTCAAACTCGTATCCTGTGAGATATGGGAACAATTTATAAACATCAATAAACAAAGACCACCAGTTCAAAAATAAACCTAGAGCAACACATTTAATAATGCTAAACAGGGAGGAACCGAAAAATCAGTTTTCCATGAAGCAAAAGCTCATCTGTACAAAGCATCGGCATTCCATATAATGCAGGCTGCATTTTTTACAACTATTTATATGTTGTAGGATAAAGAATATGGCGTAATATCATACCTTCACGGCTAAACAAGTCGCGAAACAAGCGCTTCAAGAATGCATAATCCGGGCGTTGATCAAATGTTAAAGAGTGGCAATAATGGAAGTACGACGCAAACTCCACAGGATGTGACTTACATAGGGCCTGGAAAACAAATGTGACATCAGTTCATTTTTACACAGAGAACAGAAATTTCAAGAGAGACAAAAAAAGGATGGATCATAAATTCTTGCTCAATTGTAATGGATCTCTGAAAAGGTTTCAAAAGAAATTAGGAAACCCACCTCCCAAAAGAAAACAAAATAAAAATTGCAAGCTGTTTTTATAATTGCATACTTCTAGATGAGAATTCTTAAAACCTGAACTCATTTAGATATATGGGGCAATTTCAGTAAACTCTACATGTAACAAAAAATGGGAAGAACAAATACAAATGCCTGATACAAAATTTTAGGAGACGTGATCTAACAGAAACAGCATCAACAAGTCAGCCATGTTGGATTGAGTTTTAAGTATGATCCTCCTATTCACAAGATGCAAAAGTATCATCTAATGGACAGTGGCACATACCTCAATGGGAGTTGATAACTTCTTCTCACAAATCTTATCATATTTTTGCTTCTTTGTTGCAGCTTTTAGACCCTGCCAAGGAAGGCTAAATGCAGAAATCAATTAGTCTGCCAGGCCAAAAAACTAGTTGAGTACCCAGTTAACTGGTCAAAACATTGTGCAAAGAGTGCTTGTCATCAAAGTGACAGTTGCGATGTGTTTCACCAATGAAAGTAAATCAGCATAAGAATCCTAACTGGAGTGGTAAATAATTCAAGATATAAAATTCTCATTTAGAAAAGTGGTTCAACTTTATGGCGCACCTTCCTCTTAAGAAGTACAGAAGAACATATCCAAGTGACTCCAAATCATCCCGGCGACTCTGATCTAGAACAATGTACCCAACAAATGAGGAAAAAGATAGCCAAAGCATTTAGAAAATAATTAAATAAACAGTAACTGTCCTTACCTATTCCCAAATGGGTATTGCAACTAGCATAGCGTGCAGTTCCTGTTAAGCTTCTGTTCTCTCTGTATGAGTTTGACAATGAAAAGATAATCACACACTGAAATGCGAAAATACTGTTGAACAGGAAGAGCTCATTCAAGACACAAATATCCTACTAGATTTAAGCATGGACAAAATTATGCAACTTTACCTGTACGGAATATGCCGGTGTGTAATTTGGTCCCGAAATCTTTTTGCAAGTCCAAAATCAATAACATAAACCTAATTCATGTGTATTTAACAATGGTTAATAATTGATAAACAACTTCTTCTCAAAATAATTGATAAACAACACAGAGATCATAAAGGCTTTATTGTTCCTGCAACTTAGTTGTTGAAGAGGAATGCATTAACATTACTTGATTTGCTTTCCTGCCAAGACCCATGAGGAAGTTGTCTGGTTTGATGTCTCTATGAAGAAACCCTTTAGAATGTACATATTCTATTCTGGTAATCTGCAATTGAATGAACAAAGGAATCATATTTACCACTACGCAAACAATTTAGCACTTAGTAATCTGATAATCCAGTAAAAAACCATAAAGTAAGTGTGGTCTTAAAAAGTGAGTCCCTTTTGATTGCAACTGACCAAATAATATGACAAGAATTTCTGTAAGCGATCCATAAGACAAAAACAAAATCCCTTAATAGCAATAACTAACTATAAGCTTAACAAATTACAAGCAATCAAAGAAAATATTCAAGATTACCATCTGATCTGCCAACATTAAGACCGTCTTCAGTGAAAACCTCCTCCCACAGTACACAAAGAGGTCTTCAAGACTCGGTCCCAGCAAGTCGATGACGAGAACATTATCGTCCTTATCAAATCCCGCCCATCTTATGCTTGCAATACCACCTGAAGGTTCATAAACTCAAGTCATTATATATAGTGAAAAAAAAAGATTCAAGGTGATAGTTTTTGAGAACACGTTGTTCAAGAGCAACACTATTATTGAATCCTTACTTCCTCCCTGCAGAATTTTATAAAGCTTTGCCTCGTACAAAAGTTGTGGATGTTTTGTCTTGTTATTTTCCTGCCACAAAAATTACAACCGATTACTCGAACATCATACTATTCGTCTACCTGAAATGAGAACAGGGAATACCAGAACAATATGGTTCCCCAGTTGAAACCCACATCCATTCTAATCCCAATGTTCATCGCCACAATAGAACTTCTGACTCGAAATGCACTCAAACCAGAAAATGAAATTCTTCAAACTTTCAAGATCTATAACACACATCCTAAACACACAGAACCTAATTCTGACGCAAGATTCCACTTTCAATCCAAAGAACCATAACTTGATCAGCTCAAACGCAGGATATTAATTCACAAAAAATGCAGGCTCAATTTTTTTCCCGGAAAGTATTCCCCCCGAAACAAACACTCAAACCATTCGATCAAATTACAAAAATGAAAAGGATCGAATCGAAACTTACAATCTTGGCCGCCAAATTCTCGCCAGTCACTATATGCGTTGCTGACAAACCAAAAAACAAATAAAAAAATTACAATAATTAATCAGGACTATTGAAAATAATCAAAATTAAAGAGAAAAGGGGGGTAAAGATCGCTAAATGAATGATTCACAAACCAAGATACAATTCGCCAAACGAGCCGCTCCCAATTTTGCGACCTAATTTGTATTTCTCTGCCACAACCCTCTCCATAAAAAGCCCTAATCTCTCTGGACCCGATTGACCTAATCTCTCTGGACCCGATTGACTTCGTCGATGAAGAGAGAGAAAGCTAAGGTTTTTAGGGCGAGGTTCAGATCGAATAGCAGAGACGACGATCCGGTCGAATGCAATTTGAGGATTTTTATGGAGAGAGGTCGAAGGAAGAAACGAGCAGGTCTCGGATGGCGGCCACAGGTCAGGGAGACGGGGATCTAAAAGGTAAAAGTGAAAAAGAGCTGGGCGAATAAGGAATTATGGACTCTTAAAATGAGGGGTGGAATTTGGAATTTATGGAGTTTGAGGTGGTTATTGAATTCCAGAAAGTATTTGGGAAGCTTTCGCCGGCCCGAACAACTGTGTGCATTTATAAAAATGCGCAGGCTACGATGGCGGTAAAATCATTTTAAAAGTCTTGAAAATTAAAAGCCGATACGGAGATTAAATCCTAATAAAAAAATAATAATGTTAGAAAAATTATATTTGTAGACAAAATTAAAAAAATTTAAAGAACATAAATTAATGATTGGTTTATTATTATTATTTTTTTTTTCTGAAAAAGTACGATATTTATTACAAAACAGAGATCACATACATAATAAAGATAGTGTGCATTAAAAGGTCTCGACAAAAACTTTGCCGAAGTTTTTAACTCGGTCTAAGGAAAAGAACGTCCCGTACGACAAGAAAGTTATCCTCATATGCCAATACTGAAAAACCAGTCCAAATTACAAACTTTCATCAAGTAAAACACCCCTAAGAAAATGAGGGGGATCTTCAAACCACAAGAATTGCTAAATACCTCCGACTCCAACCAGTCCAAATTACAAACTTTCATTCATATTATTTAATTTACAAATTTTATCTTCAAATTTAATGTTCCTAAAATTATTCTAAAAAAGGTAAATAGTAAAAGTTGGTTCTTTTGGTCAAAGAAACGAAAAGTAATTAAGTTGCCAAATTTTGTTTTTGTTTTTGTTGGAACTAATTACCAAATTAATTACTTAATTAATAACAGAGAGGATAGGATGCAGACAATTAATCCTATGATTTAGGAGATTTTTATTCTTTAATGTTTGGAAGAAAAAAAAGTGAAAATGGGGTAAATTTGATATAACAATAAAATGAGGTGACCTATTTCCATGACAGCAGATAAAGTGGAATTTTTCTAATAATGACTCATAAAATTAAACTTATTATATCAAGCTTACTCCAAAGAAAGCAGTAATACCGCATTATTTGAATCATTCCAGATAACGATTGTCCACGCCCTGATCCTGACATACGTTCAAGATCGACACGTGACGTCACCACATTCCTGTTTATCTATCATGTCTCACCTCCGAGACATTACCAAAACACAATCAATAATTTAACCATGTAGTCATTTTCTTTTATTTCATGGTTGCATCTAACCTTACGTTAGACTGCCTATGTACCCTAAAAAGGGATCAAATCATTCGTAGTTCACCTTTCACTACACTTCGACGTTTATCACAATACATTCAAGCAGAAAAGCATAGCATTCCTCAATCAATTATTAGAACTCGACAAGCATGAAATTACTAGGTTTAGAGCTACATAACAAACCCACAAGACATTCAAGATTTCCATTCCATCCATCATATAAATCACTATGCTTTCAACATGATACCTCAATCCACAACATGCAACATCTCAAAGAACAGTTAACGAAGCACAATATTATTTTCAAGCCACATTGATCAACTAATCTAATCATAATAATAACAATCATATCCAACATCATTCCGCAATCACTCCAATTAATCAATCCCTAGAATCAAAGATGCACAATATTAACATTTAACTACGTTAATCAATCAATAAGATCACATATCAATTTAATAAAGGAATTCCACATAATTCCCTACCTGCATTCCAAGTAATAACATGATAAATCTAATTTATAAACACAACGTCTACTGTGAGCAAGAATAGGGATTTTGAACCACTCAATGAAATTTAACTAAGATATGGTCACCTATCGATATGTACCAAGTACAACTAATCCTCATCACCCCTAAAATGCATATGGTCCCCCATTGCGGATATACCAAGCAAAACCATAGGCATAATCTAATCGTGCAAGCAGTGATCACCCATCGCAGATATACCAAGCAGGACCACATCCTAACTCTAGGTAGTGATCACCCCTCGCGGATATACCAAGCATGATCACTCTTAGAATGTGTATGGTCTCCCATTGCAGATAAACCAAGCAGAACCATATGCATAGTCTAATTACGTAGGCAGTGATCACCCATCACGAATATACCAAACATGATCACCCTAACAATCCTCTATCGTGGATATACCAAGCAGGACTGTATCTTATAACTCTAGGTAGTGATTACCCATCACGGATATACCAAGCATGATCACCCCTAGAATGTGTATAATCCCCATTGAGGATAAACCAAGAAAAACCATAAGCATAGTCTAATTGTGCAGACGGCGATCACCCATTGCAAATATACCAAGCATGATCACCCTTGAAATATGTATGGTCCCTTATCGTGGATATACCAAGCAAGACCATCCATGTACCACTGCTACATAGTGTAGTTAGATCAACACAAAAACCTACTTACCCTTATCTCAACCCCTATGATTTACAACGTAATCACCTGCACTATCAATTTCTCATGACCACTAACATGTCACACAAGCATACAAGTTCCACGGGATACTTCTAATAGGATAGGCTCACATTGTCATAATAGTTACCAAACCTGTCATTCATATTATCAAGAAGATAAATACACATCTATATCACAATAAGGCATCATATACACGTAAGCTGAGGTATATATTACCTGAGATAGCTCACTAACCGATATAGGCTCACTAAGCTCTACTTAGTTTCTAGTAATACAAATTTTAGTATTCAAGAACGATTAAGAACATTTTGATCAAAATCAACCATAGTAAATCAATCAGGAAGATCCGCCCACCAGATTTCCGTAAGTTCCTAAAGTCCTCAAATATTACGTATGATAACATATTAAAGTTTGGTAATGATATAACGGCCAGATCGTCGATTGTTATGATGATAAAGTGGCGGCCTCTAACAAACATATGTTTAAACAACGGGATTTCATCAATCAGATGTCAAATATGGAATCCGAGTATTGAATTTAAATTTAAAAGACAAAGTCGGCCCACTGGCTATACGCCGCCACAAGTGGCGGTTTTCGGGGAACGGAAACCCAATTTTCCGATGAACTCTAAAAATTACCAATTTTCACATAAATGTAGAGCAAGTCAAGGGGCATAATTTTCATACATGGGTGAAAGTCCAATTCAGTGGGGAAGTGGCCTGAAAACTCCTCGTTTCGCCAGAAACCCTAGAAATAGGCGTTCTCGATTCGATGCCAAAATGAACTCTGACGCCTCGTCCAATAATTGGGCCTTGCTCCTGGGGGTGAGGGAAGTCTATTGGTAGTATTGATCGATGGTGTTGACTTCAGAAATGGCGGATCGCCGTCGTGCACCCCTCGGCACCACCTATATCATTCTTCGCAAAAAGGGCACCAATCCTTGTCGAGTTTAGGTCAACGGTGGCCGGAATATGAGATAAGGTTAGGTTAGGTAAGGTCGAGTCAGCGGGTCGAAAGGTGGTCCGAGTTTGCTGGGTCTCTCCTTCCCTCATTTCCCTCATTTTCCCCTTCTTGATTGGTCACTTTCCCTCATTTTCTCTCCCACATCTCTCATTTTTCCCCTTTGGTCCCTTCCCAAAGAAATGGGAACCCCTAAAAATATTAAATCCCTATTTTATTTAAGAAACTTTTAACGTTCGTAACTTCTTCTTCCTCGTCCCAATTCACGAATGGCCTTCGCCTACGCGCTCATGGGGTTGAGCTCAATTCAAAAACATTAAGAGTGACCCCCGAAGGTCTATGGATTTTAAATAATTATTTTCAAAAATTCAAACTTTGTAATTAAGTAATTAAAATCTAAAATTAATTTAAATTCGCGAAAATACTATAAAATCCCGCGAATACAAAATACATAAATTATAATAGTGAAATCCCAAGATTTCACAATATTAAAAAATAAAAAGACAAGTAAATTGTAGTAGTAGTCCCTCAACTTTAATCAAATTGGAGCAATAGTCCCTCAACTAAAAATCTATTATTGTTGATCTCTAAACTCATCAAAATGTGTAGCTGTGGTCATTTTCGCCAACTTCACCAGAATTTGTCAAAATAAGTTATGTTGGAAGGACCATTGCTACAATTGGAGTCTCTCAATTCATTAAAACGTGTATCTATAGTCATTTTTGTCAACTTCGTCAGAATTTTGTCAAAATAAGTGATATTGGAAGGACCATTGCTACAATTGGGTTAAAGTTAAGGGACCATTGCTCAAATTGGGTTAAGGTTTAGAGACCATTTCTCCAGTTTGATTAAAGTTGAAGAACCAATGATAATGGATTTTTAGTTGAGGGATCATAACTGCACATTTTGATGAGTTGAGGGATTAAGAAGATGCAATATCACCGAATTCATGGATTCATTTTTCACGAAAGCCCCTCAGCTTTATTCAAATTCCGAAACAAGAGATGCAATAGCACCAGATGGAGGGATTCCATTTTCACGAAAGCCCCTCAGTTTTATTCAAATTCCGAAACAAGAGATGCAATAGCACCAGATGGAGGGATTCCATTTTCACGAAAGCCCCTCAGTTTTATTCAAATTCCTAAACAAGAGATGCAATAACACCAGATAGAGGGATTCCATTTTTACGAAAGCCCCTCAGCTTTATTCAAATTCCCAAAGTGGCATAAAAAACAGTTCCGAGTGTGATCACTTTGAAGCTAATAAGTTGAACATATACTTGTTAATCATATAATGTTTCCTTGTAGTACTATACCACCTGCCCCATCCTCCCAAAGAAATTTCAGATGCAAACTCTAATACATATACTCGTCCCTAACCACGTGATACAATTTGTACAGATCTGGTAACAACACGATAAGCGAGTGAGAGCAGCATCAAGAGCACATTATTTCAAAACCAAGAGTTAGTTCCTTGTATTACTTGGGAGTCTTGGAGGTTTGAACCAAAGATTTCTAAACTTAGGATAACCATTAACCAACATTGGTTTCGTTCCTTTGGAACTGAACGACGTCGTTTGGGTAAGGATTTTCAGTCTTCTACCATACCTTCGAATTCGATCCCATTTTTCCTGCCTCTGCCTTTTGCCTTCTGCCTTGTTGCGTCTTCTTCTCCCGCGCGCCAAAAGCCCAGAGGCTCAGAACACCGGTCCAGTAGCCACGCCGCCATCACCCCGCCGCCGTCACCTCAGCACCATCAGCCCAACCCCAGCGCCGTTAGCAAGATCCCAAAGGTTAGGGTTTCTGAAATTAGGGATTTAGTTTTCTAGGGAAGGTTTTGCATTTTCTGGGGAAGGATTTCGTTTTCTGAGGAAGGATTTAGTTTTCTGGTTCTGGGGAAGGTTTTGCATTTTCTGGGGAAGGATGATTTCTGCGAGAGAGAGAGACAGAGTGAGACAGAGAGAAAGACGCAGAGTAGAAATAGAAAACAGGGGAATAAGGCTATAGCCCACGGTTTTATTTGGATGTTTTGCTATTAAACCATAACCTGTTTTGCAATTATGCAATTATAGTATTATAATTTATACCATAAACTGTTGTGCAATTATACCATAAATTTAATGCTCCTAGCTGCCATAAATTGTGTCTGTGTGCCATAAATTGGCACTTAGATAAATTGTTAGAAATTGGCACTAAAGGGGTATATAAATTAATTAATAAATTGTTAGAAATTGTTAGAAATTGGCACTAAAAGGGTATATAAATTAATTAATAAATTATTAAATTGTTAGAAATTGGCACTAAAGGGGTATATAATTGTTTTAAGATTTTTTTATTCCTAAAGTTTGAAACTTGCAATTGTTACTCCTAGAACTATGCTCGAGACAGACATAATAAAAGACTAAGATGAGATTATTCCAGGCCAACCTATTAATAGTAATAGCAGCCAGTGTACTAGCTTGATTAATCAAATAAACCAATTCAATTTGCCCCTAGCAGTCTATCGATGATGCATAATTTACATCTGAGTAAAAGAATAGACACAGTCACAGAGCCTTCTGGAAATACAACAATTTTAACACTCAATATTTAAACACAAACTAATCTTACTTTTCCCAGGGAAGAATATTCGCTCTTGGAGGAGGAATGTTTCGTTTAAAAGAACATCAAATTGTGAAATGTACCGAAGAGGGAAGAGGGGGATAAAATGAAAACCACGGTATTAATTTGCATTTTGCAGTAATATCAACTGTGTTTGTGTGAATGCAAGACAATGAGACTGATTCTACTGAATTCCTATATTGGCACAATTTAATTAACCCCAGCTTCTCTGGTAAGCTGTATGGTGCATATAATCTAAGAAATCGAAAGAAATTAATAAATTGTTAGAAATTGTTGGTTTATTAATTGTATGCATGCATCTATTGTTTATTGTTTAGGGTATTGAAGAATATGGCTTCTTCTTCTAAGAAAGATTTTGCTTGGCAATGGACAAAAGATTTGGATCCTATCACTAAATACTTCTATTGTGTTTTTTGTAACCACAAATGCACGGGTTCAATTTCTAGATTCAAACATCACTTGGGTGGTGTAAGTTCGGGAGGAATAATAAGTTGTAAAAAAGTCTCACTCAATGTGAAGGAAGAATGTTTTGCTAATGTTATGGGAACTAAAGAAAAAAGGAAAGCTAGTCATGAGTTGTGTTGTGGTGGTGAAGAAGAAAGTGCAAGTGTCGATATGGGCACAACAAGGACAACATATGTAAGTAGTGGGAGTGGGAGTGCGAGTGCCACACATTCACAACAAACCGATTCTTTTCTACCACCTAGGTCAAGGGGACCACTTGATAGGTATGTTACATCGGAAGCTCGTCAAACCACGTTGAATACACCTTTCAAAAAAGAGGAAAGAAGACAAGCATCCCGAGCATTGGCCCGATGGTTCTACACTAGTGCCATTTCATTCAATGCGGCAAACAATGAATATTATGTTAATGCAATGAAATTGGTGTCCAATTTTGGTCCCGGCTTTGATGCTCCTACAAGCCATGAATATAGAACTTGGATGCTCAAAGAAGAAGTTGATGATGTACAAAGTATGATGAAAGAACATCAAAAGGCTTGGAAGAGATATGGATGCACTATTATGTCGGATGGATGGTCGGATGGCAAAAGTAGATGTTTAATCAACTTTCTTGTCAATAGCCCTCAAGATACTTGGTTCTTGAAATCGGTTGATGCATCGGCCTCTATTAAGAGTGGAGATTTGTTGTATGGCTATTTGGATGATGTTATTCAAGAAATTGGGGAGGAGAATGTGGTTCAAGTTATATATGACAATGCTTCGAACTACAAGAATGCCGGGGCAAAACTTATGGAGAGGAAAGAGAAGGTGTGGTGGACTCCATGTGCAGCTCATTGCATTGTTTTGATGCTAGAAGATATTTCTAAGATGGCATGGTTTGATGACACACTCAAACGTCCTAGGTGTATTTCAAAGTATCTATATGGGCATCAATGGGTACTAGCTTTGATGAGAAAGTACACTAACAATTCGGAAATTCTTCGTCCGGCGGTCACTAGGTTTGCCACTTCTTTCCTTACACTACAAAGCTTACAAAAGCAAAAGGAAAATCTTGTTACTTTGTTTACCTCTCAAGAATGGTCGGAAAGTACCTATGCAAAATCCCGTGAAGCAAAGTTGGCTAAGCATCATGTGTTATATGATCGTGAGTTTTGGGGTCGAGTTTCTTTTTGCATTAAGGGCGTTCTTCCTCTTGTTTGTGTTTTGAGAGAGGTTGATTCGGAGGAGAGACCCTTCATGGGTTTTATATATGAGTTGATGGATGCCGCAAAAGAGAAAATTGCAAGCAATCTTAACAAAGTGGAGAAAAAATATATGCCTATTTGGAGAAAGATAGATCATAGATGGGACGATCAACTTCATCAACCACTACATGCAGCAGGCTATTACTTAAACCCACAATTTCGATATGAGGATAATTTCTCAGATACTGATGAAGTGCGAAATGGGTTGTTTGCTTGCATGGATAGGATGCTTGGGAAAGGGAAAGAACATGAAGAGGCCGATGTTCAATTGGATTTATTTACTAATAAGCGTGGTCTATTTGCGGATTCTATGGCTATGCAAACTAGGAAAAAGCGAACACCAAGTAAGATTTAATTAGTTAATTGTTAATATCTTTTTATCATTAACCTTTAAATTACTTACCTTATTAATATTGTTTTTTTAGCGGCTTGGTGGGAGCGCTTTGGGCATAAAACACCCGAGTTAACGAAATTTGCTATCCGAGTTCTAAGCCTTACTTGTAGTGCATCGGGATGTGAGAGGAATTGGCGCACATTTTCAATGGTAAGTAAATATATTATTAGTATCTTAAGTGTCATTTTTGCTTAAAATGTTTAGACTTGAATAATAGAATTGATTTATTTGTATATTCATACAAAACGAAGGAATAGGCTTGAACACAAAAGGCTTAATGCTTTAGCCTATGTCAAGTACAATTTGGCTTTACAAGAAAGAAGTAAGAAAAGGATGGAGAAGTATGATCCTATTGTTGTGGAAGAAATTGCCTCCGATGATGAATGGATAACAAAGATAGAAGGTCCCGTTCTTCCCGAAGATCCTACATGGCTTGAGGATGAGTTATTGTATAATGTTGAGGCCGTAAGGAATGTGCCAACCCTGGTTTATGAAGGTGGCTCATACATTCGAGAGCCTAGAGAGTCTTCTCCTCCTCCTCCTCCTCCTCCTCGTGAGCCTACTCCTCCTCCTTGTGAGCCTACTCCTCCTCCTTCTTCTCGTGAGCCTACTCAACCTCGGGGTCCTATTACATACAAAAGAAAATGGAGTGATGAAGAATCCTCAAGTAGAACTAGAAGAAATGTGGAATATGATTCGGAAGATTCTTTTGATGAAATGATGAGATACCCGACAAGTTCATCTAGAGTTGGCAATGAAGAGGATGATGTGGCCTTTTATTTAGATGAAGAGGATTTAGATGAATGATTTATATCTTTGTTTGTATTTTGATTTATATGAAGATGATTTGGATGAATGATTGTTTTCTTTGTTTGTATTACCTTTTGAATGATGAATTTGGGTGATATTACCTTTGAATGATGAATTTAAATGATATTATCTTTTGAATGACTATGGATTTGAATGAAAAATTGAGAATGGATGTTTATTTTACATAGTATTATTTTTTATACAATTATATGTCTAATATATAAAACATATATATAAAAAAAAATTAAATCCTGTAAGGCTTCGCCTCACGCCTCTAGCCTCACGCCTAGGCTAGGCTTCGCCTCGGACACCTTGCCCACGCCTCACGCTTTTAATACATTGGTAGAAACCAACACGATCTCATTTTTATGATTCCGAACTGGGTTTCAAAAATGTTAGGAAGCTCATCTGCAGGGTTGTTTTCACTGTTCTGACGGAAAAAGACAACGGTTAACAAAGACTTCACTCGTTCAGTCCCGAAAAACAAGTCCAAACGTCAACAATGCACCGATCAATGGGCTACAGACCAGGGGGTTTGAATAATGGAACCAGATTGTATAACCCTTCCACATCAACGGGAACTCTGAGAGCCTGGCTAAGGAGCTCGGGTGTAGTAGTTTTGCCCTTCCAAGTACTGAACCATGGTCCTCCTCCAACTTCTACTGCGGCCATGTTACTTGAAACATCCAATATCATCTACAAAATAGACAAAATCAAAAGGCTCGAATCACAAGTAGGTTTTGCACAAGTCATCAAATCATTAACTAATATATCAAACTACAGTATCTTGTAAGCCGGAAACATAATTATTGGGGGAAAAAAAGGGTGCGGCAAACATTTTATCACATAAACATAGCGGTCGTTGGACTCATGAACCATCCCCAACCCCATAGTCACATTGACAAACAAATTCCCATAACAGAACCTATAGATCAATTGAGACAACTCATGAACCATCCCCAACCCCATAGTCACATTGACAAATAAATGCCCATAACAGAACCAATAGATCAATTGAGACAATGTCCCATCACATCGTCCAATAATCCAGGCCAACTTTAGCATACATTTTTTACTAAAAACCGGCACAAGTCCTTCCAATAATGGGAAAGAGTGATACAAGTGTGACTGTTTGGCCAAAGGATATCCAATCCTAACTACAAAGAAATGATTAACTTATCCATGGTCACTGGATATGGCTTGTTTAATGTTCTTTAATTTTCTTGTTTAATCTATACGAAAAGTTGGAAGAGCAAATGGTTACCTAATGATGGGTGTTATGACTCGGTCTATGAAGAGTACTCGTGCCGTGCCTGCTTAAAAGATTTTGGGCTCGTGTTGGCCATAGAAGCACTTTCAGCTAAAAATTTATATGTTCTAACTCAGGTCATCAAGAAAACTGTTGCTTATTATCCATGCCTTGTCCAGAGTGGCAAACCAGGGAAAGAAGTGTGTTATAAATGGTCTATTAGCATAGTTTTTGTTTCCCACGGCAAACTAAAATAAAATTCCGAGCTTTTACTGACAAAAAAAAATGCAAATGTCAAATAACTAGTCATTTTAGAGTTGTATGGCCTGTCTAAAACATATTGCAAGCCTAGGACACAGAAAAGAAAAGAGTAATTGAAGAAAAGGAGAGTGAGACCAATAAATACATGTGTATATAATATATATGTATATGAGTGAAAACTGTGCACCTTCCCCTTGTTACCATCATATCTTCGTTCCCACATTTTTAATTTTAGATCACCGAAGCAAGTATCTTTACAGGCTGGAGCAAGTCCAGCTTCTGATGTTGGAGCACGCAAAGTTGTACCAGGATCCTCTGTTGTTGCCTCTATTTCAACCTGCTCATTAACAAGAAAAGTGTGTTGGGTGACTACAAAGATTTTCACTAATATTATCAAAAAGGCTAGAACCAGCTTGAACCTTCTGTTAGTGTTATGGTAGAGATTTCATTTCCACTAATATTACCAAAATATTAAAGACCACCCACCACTTAATACAGCTATAGAGATTTCATTTCCAGGGTATACTACTACTATCAAATGTGAGGGAGGGGCAAGATGAAAGAGACGTTCAATTACCATGTGTGTTTCATTCTCTGCAGCAATGGACCAGTAACCCCAAGGAGCAATTTCCCAACTAACAACACCATTCCATGGTACAAATTCATAAAACTTTCCACCATAGTGAACTCCGATCTGCATCATAAATGCATGAACATATTAAAGGGGAAAAAAATGCAGGTACTATTTGTTAGCAATAACGGGCAAGGTTACCTCCAACTTGGAAATTTCATGAATATATCCAATTCTTAATTTATCATGAGCAATTGTAGAATGCAAAGAAAGACGAGACTTTGTTTCATCTTCATCCATTTTCCTTATAGCATGTTTAATGAAGAAATTTTAGAGAGACCAACACAAACATAACACGATCCTGAATGGCAAAGAAACTGCTCAACCCCTACTTCCCTCTCCTCTATGAATCTCATTTAAAATTTCCTCTCAAAGATAACTTAGCAAAATATAAAGTGAGCAGAAGCAAACAAGGGAAAGAAAAGCATCATTTTCAGAGCAATCTCCACTGGAAAAGTACCAAAGCAGCGTTTTCAAAAGATTCTGTTAATCCAGGTAGTTGCCGCAAACCACCGCCTGATGTCAGAGCAACTTCTCCAGCAGCGCCTTCAAAAACATTACACTGAACCTGCAGTGTGGCATCAATCCATCCAAATAAATCAGTGGATGCCAAACCACTAATACAATGAAGAATGAGATTAACCTTTACTATAATAAGATACTGATGAATGGATAAAAGCCTACCCAGAACCATTTTCTTGGGAATGCTCCACCCCAATTCTTTTCAGAATAAGAAGGGGCATTTTCAAACTCAAATCTTTCACCATCCCACTCTATCCAACCTGAGATTTAAACGAAACCTGAGACAATGCCCTGAAAAGTGTGTACAGGTTTCTAAAAAGAGAAGATTTTGGAGTACAGGATATTCAAAAGAAAGAAACACATGATTGTCCAAAATAAAATAGCTAAATGGTACAGGAAATATTTGCGAGGAGTTAAAGGACATAAGCAAATGCCTGTTGACAATCCACCAGACATGCATATTTGCCAATGGGGTTCATATACAGGAAAAGCTGCTAACCAGCCTGCAGTAGACTTCTGCTTAGACCCAACATCACCCCATCCATAAATTGGGCGGGTACTGTATTCCCAGCGAGCAGTTGGCACAGTTTCTACATAATCTGACCTGACACGAACAAGATTGTACATCAAAGTTCTTATAAACTCTATGGGTACGGGCAACCCATATTTGCACAGGTCAAATGAAAAAAAAATAAGAACAAGGAGAGGCGTACCTGCCATCATCACAAATGGAACCTTGATGCCAAAGTGGGGTGACTTGAAAACCTTCTATCACTCTACTATCGAATTCCTATACAATATATCCCACAAATGTGGGGAAATATTAAAAGAAGTAAACATTAATGAAAACCAGTATTTTCTGTTGCAGCCTAACATAATTCTCACAAAATGACAATTGCAAAAACGACGTACTTAATTAGAAACTAAGTGGTCATCTAGAAGAATAATGAATATAAACCGAAAACAAAATAAGGTTCAAATATAGTATATTAACCTTCGGAGGAACCTCATTGTTCGGAGGCTTTGATTGTTTTTCTGCTATAAAAGTGTTCCCCAACATAAGCTCATCCCTGCCTATGCACTAAAAACATTAACAACCAGCATACTTAAGGTGGATACATGAAGAATCCTAACATAATATAGAAGTCAAAAACACGAAACTTAGGACACGGACACCCAAAAGATAAACAGCATTTCTTTCATCAGATAACAACACATCGTCCCGAAAGTTTTGAAATTTGAAATTCTTCAGAAACAACAACTTGAGTAACATTTAAAACAGAAAAAAAGTTCTTACTTCCCCAAAAGTTCTGAGATTCTTCCGAGTACTGGCAAATGTACTTGTCGTAGGCACCCAGAATTTGAGCACCGACCCCGGTCGACCTTGGCCCGTTCTGAACCAATTCTAACGCCGTCAGTGGCTTCCGGAACACGGGATTCTCAACGGAGTACATGAAGCAGAAGCTCTGCCTCCGCTCCGGAATCGCAACCTTGAAGTACCATCCTTCAAAGAATTTCCGGCTCGTTCCATCAAAATGGTACCTAATTACACAATTAATCACCAAAAAAAATCACCCAATTGAGAAATTAAATCCCGAAAAATGTCAAGAAATTAAGCTCAATGCACATACATACCCGCTGTGAGGAGTTCGAAGGTCTCGATTCCGAGGGGTGGGGACGTAGACGGAGCTCGAGGCCGCTTTGTCCTGCTGAGTTGTGGAGGAGGAAACGGTGGAAGTGGTTCCAAACCCATGCTTCAGAGTCCTCAAGGAGCTACGTTTTGAAGAGTGAGAGAGGAGAGGGTTTCTGGTTCGGAAGCTCAAGTTTGGAGAGAAATGGTGGTGATCGCGCAGTGAAGAGAGGCTTGACTCCATTGCTATACTGGGATGGAAATTGAAGAGAGAGAGAGAGAGAGAGAGAGAGAGAGGAGGTGAGGTGTATGTTAATGTAAACTTGTGGTGTAACAGTGCCAGGTGGGTGAGAGATGGCGGGTAATTTGGAAGCAAAGACGAAAGAATGTTCAGAACCCGGCCCAGATTTACATGAACCGAAACCCAAGCCCACATACATGAACCTGAACCCGGACTAGGGCGGATTATTTGCTGTGGAATTGTGATTTGACGAGTAATGTTCTTTTGTTAGGCTGAGAACCTGATTAGTTTGGAGTGAACCGTAACTAGTCATGTGGGATCCAAATGGTTGATATGGACTTTGTGGTTCATCATGTATTCTCTTGTTAAACACTACGCGTTATGTTATCATATTGTCAAGAAACATATATTCAAAATGACCAAGATCAACAGTTTGACAATATAAACGTTATATTATTTGGTAAAGTAACGTTTCTCGTATTGAATACCTATAATGTCACAAAAAAAATTAAAGGATAATGATTTTCACGATCACATTTTCTACTTTTGGAATTCTTTCTCTTGTTTCTGTCTATTGATTGATTCTCGTTTGATTCATCCAATCACGTGACTAGAAAAAAAGCGTAGAGTTCATTAATGAAAAGAAGATTACGAAAATCACTTTTCGCTTATCATTGCATACACAAATCCTAATACAAATCAAACAAATTTGCTTGTGTTGAAGTAAATATAAAAGGCAGCTAAAATTAAGAAGGCCTCAAGCCATCAATAAAATGCATCGCTTGTCTTCCCTTTGCTTTAATTCGAGAAATCTTACATTCAATGAAAGAATTTGAACCCAAGAAAATGGCAACAGCATGACACAACAGCTTGTAAACAATTACAACAAAACCAAGTTCAAGATTAGGGTTCACAACTGTTTCAAAGTAGAAGCAGGAAAGCAAATAGATGTGGTACAAATCATCTAAGAGGATCGAAAAGAGGCCGAGGGCGAATAAAAACAAGAGACAAGTCAACGCGACAGAGATAACGAGAAGAAGAATGCAGATGATGAATGCACCGTGGAGAAATGCAAGTAGGATGAGGTTGAGATTTGGCTCCATCAGAGGATACAGTTGAGGAAAGTAAGAGAGAAGGCTAAGGATGTTATAAAGAAAAAAGGTTGAGCTTGAAGAAGGGAAAAGAATGAAGTGACTTGCACTCATTCTATTGAAAGGCAATGAAGTCATATTTTCTCTGTCATTTGGAGTTCACATCAAGGCATTCTGTTTTGTGCAAAATTAGAGGTCCAAGTGTATAAAATGAATAAGATTCATGTATAAAATGAGTAAGATTGCTGAAGGAAACAAATACAAAATAAAGAAGCGGAAGAAGTTACTTAACGCACCAACTTGATCATTCAAATTTGCTACACAGAATGACACCCAAATAATACCTAAAATCATGACAAAAGGAAGAAAAAAAAAGCTGATATTGACATAGATGAATCTCGGCATCCTTCTAAGACTTTGCAGTTGGCAATTCAAACAACTTTCCCTACTTCAACAAGTAAATTTTTCTCTTGTTAAATAGAGCAGCCTACGAAGGAAATTGGGCATCTCGTATGACTACATGACTAGGGGAATAGAGTTTGATTTAGCAACTGGAAAACGTTGCGAGAAAACTCAACCAATTTGTTGAATGGTCACATGGATCTGCTCAAGTGTTTGAACATTCTGACCCAACATCAACTATAGTCCAGATTAATAATCACTGGCAAGACAATATGTGGATCTTCATCAATCTACCCTGCATTGTAAAACAATTTGCATGACATAACAAAGAAGTTATTTTGTTCTATTTAACCATATGTAGCACTTAAACAAAACATTTTGAATTGTCCACCCCTTACTTCAGCAAGAGCTATCTTTGAGAACCATGTTGGTAGTCACAGGGGAAAGTTCAGCTCTAAGCAACATTCCGACATATATTTACGTCTATATTTGTGCAAAGTCTGGACCAAGAAACTGCATACTAATGACTCTTGAAACATTGAGAATTTTAGGACGCCTTCCCCATATAACTTGTTTTAAACTCTAACAAGAACAATTACGCTTGCCATCCACATGGACTCTATTCACATTAAGAATTTCACTTAAGTGAGGCAATGACATCTAGGCCATCTTTCATGACCCATTTGGGAGGATAGAAAGTATTCGATGATCCATGGTGATGTTGCCAAACCGTGATTCTTGAGCAATTGTGCAATAAACCTTCCATCTGACTTTCATCTTCGACAACTTGTTCAATAAATGTGCTCATCTGCAGATGCAAACAGTAAAGTTAGCTTAAGTGTGGACTTTATTTCTCCAATAGAGGTTGTATTATTGAAGGGTGTGCTTATATATGGTACATGTAAGTAACTTAGGATGTTCTGGTTACTACATCAGTTTACTTAAAAGATACAACTTCTCTTTCGAAGTCTACCACATGTTCTTTTGCTTTAAAGGTCGTAGAAGTTGCTTATGTTTAAAGGTTACCAACCTTGAAATCATCATTGCCTTCGTCAGGCTACCTAATGGGTTCAAGTGTCGGTCGATGCCACCTTTTAGGGTCCAGAGTATCGTACTATGGAAGGCAAATCCTGATATGTTAGCATAAAACCTCTGGAACCTTCTATCTGACTCAGTTACATGCCATCCGATGACCTGAGTTCCATTACAAACAGGGCCTTCAATAAACAGGTTTCATCTTTCCACCTATCATTTTTTCCACGGTCCACGTCCCAAACCGCCTGCAAAAAAATATGAAAAAGGAAAAATAAGTGGCACCACAACATGCTCAGGGAATGCAATGTCAAAAAAAGAGAATTTACTAGAGGGGCAAAGATGATGATCTCTCATACAATACTACATGCACCAATTTTCCAAAATTTAGATACTAATAAATGTGTATGATAATGGAACAATACTTTAGTTGCTAGAATTAAATGTAGATTCAAAGTAAAACCAAATGGGAACATATAAAACAATGTTGCATCAGTTGGCATTCAAATTTTAGAACTTTATTGTGTTTGTGTGTGATGTTAATCTCTCTACAACAGGTTCTATGAGCAATGAACAGACTATATGCAGAGGATCAGAGGATTTCCAATAGAAAAATGATAATTAACTATGAGATTAACATAAAAGACATGCAGGTCTCATGCTTAATTATCAAGAAGCTCAAAATTTTGTTAAATTCTGCAAATGTAACTAAACCACGTTCTCTTATTTTCTCAGGATATCCGCGTGTGATGATGCATAAAAAGATGCTATTCCAACAGCAGTCCCTTACAAATGTAAACTAATACTAAGGAGTTTGGCTTAGAGAAGTGGAATACCTGATCTGCCTCATTTGCTCAAAAATATCGATGGAGTAGACGTTTTCCTCATTTGCAAAGTAGATGATTCCATCAAGACGGTGAGTTTCAATGTAAAAAAGTGCAACATTTCTTTGATGAATACTTTTGTCTCTTACATCAGTAAGATTTTTATTGCAAACAAGATGTTTGTACATAATCCCAAATCTTCTCAAGATGTTTATTGTTTCTGCAGATTGGGAGGTCATCTCCACAACGATCCATAACAATGGAGGTGAGGTTAATTTTAATGTGTACCATACGATTCAGATTATAAGCTTGAAATGACTGAGCATAAGTTGGAGTCACTATTATCAAAAACTTCCGGGATTCCAACTCTGATTCTTGAATGAGTAATTGATTATCTATAGATTTTTCTAGAATCCCATCTTTTGCTTTCCGCTCTTTGACTTGCAACTCGGCTGTAACATTCTCCTTCGATCTCACCCTTTCTGATGGTGTCATATTTCTGCATGTAGTATCATGCAATTGAACCCCAACTAAAGATAACATATCAATGGATAAGTCTTGATGCTTTGACATGAGATTCGCAGATAAATTCATTGAACCAAATGACATAAGTCCACTGACTAGGCCAACAATGAAACAAATGAAGAAATGGCAAAACGCCCTCCTCCAAGTTTGCCATCTTGGTTTTGAGTCTTTTGATTTCTCAAGAAGCCTATTAGACCTTGGTGAATAAACTTTGAGAACAAAAGGGTCGAGCAAAGCGGACACAGATGATAAGAACCTATTGGATGAGGAGTAGTTCTGAGCACAAGATGAGCACTTGGACAATGGAGAAGCAACTGAACAGGTTTCCCCATTGAGTGCAGTTCCTACTCGAGGCACTGGAGACAATGTCATTCTAATAGATGCCATCAACACAAACATGGTATCTGATCTAGCTTATTTCAAACTCCACCTCTGCTTACAAACTCTATCACATAGACCAAAATCTATCCAAACAAATTAAAACATTGCGGTCTTTCGAACGAATGTTATACCAACAGTTTCAAAAGCACTAAATTTCTTCTCTGTATGATCCCCATCAAAAGCTTCATTTTTAACATCAATTGCAAGAAATTGATGTGTGCATTTCATATGAAACTAAAATCCAACCTCCAAACAATCCAAGCCCTCCATCTAATCTACTTCTCCACACAAACTCCCAACCCCAACTTACAAAAAAAAAAAAAACAACTTTTTCCCTAAGTTTAAGTTCTTGATCTACAACAACAATATGACTAAAAAGATACAAACTTTAGACCCAAAAACTATTAGATTCCAAATGAAATGCTGAAAATTCTCAGTAAAACCAAAAAGGTCACCGCATTACCGTTGAAAAGCAGCTGAGTCTTCGATCTTTCAACCCAACTAGCCCCAAAGCAACCAAACTAGCCAGGCAGCTGCAAGCTTCACTCTGTTGAAGCTAGACAAAACGTCAACATTTGGAGCACAAAGATGTTAATGGCAGCAATGATGCTTGCCAGGAGTGTTGGAATTTGAATCTCTCTCCCTCTCTCTCTCTCTCTCATGTAGATTTAGACACCAAAAAAAAAAAAAAAATACAATACAATTTTTTCTTGTCTTGGGTGACCGATGGCCTAATTGGTTCTAATTATTTATAATATTTGGTGGGAACTGTAGTGATACAATGATACAATGATCCAATGTGTGTAAAGAAAGAAAATTACAGTTTAGTAACTATACTAAATGTAGAAATCTCTAACTAATTTTTAGCATTGATTTTTTTCTATACAATTTTAACGGCTATATCTTGAAGATTTATTTTGGGTCAAAGGTATCTCTTGTAAATAGAAAATATTGATTCTATATTATCCTTGATTTTGTACATCTTAACTGCTATATTTTCAATTTTTTTTCTTCCTATGAGTATCTCTATGCTTGGTTGGCAACCATTCTACAAATTGAGTGATTTTTCAATGTGCTGAAAACACAGCTCGGTACACCAAGTATTAGTATACTAGGTCGTGTTCCCACCATTGAAAAATTTCTCCTACCAGAGATTATGAAAGATTTGATTGTCTAGCTCCAAGACTTCCATGAGGTTTCTCTTTGAAATTTTTTACCTTGTTTCATGATTTCATCCAAGGAAAAAAAGGAGGAAATGATATGACTTTTTATATAACGGACATTGGAAGGGATATAAAGTGAGATAGTATTAAATATATAAAGATAATTTATTATTGCAAAGAAAACTAACGAAAAGTTCAAAAAAATTTAGTTTTAATGAAAAATGACAAATAAATGTGTAGTGAATAATACCAGAAAAAGGTAAAAATATGGTTTTTCGTTAAAAATGAACAATACTGGGAGTGTTTCGTTAAAACTCCTCCCTTAACATTCTGATATCATCAACGTCAACTGATTCAAAAACAAAAGAAAAATGAATTCAGAAACAAGGTAGAAGACAATCAACTGGCCTCTAGAAATTCATGAGGAATGAATTGCCTTTCCTTCTTTTTCTGCAATACCATATATATAAAATATAACTCTTGAAAAAAAAAAATATATATATATATATAATATAACTGACATGTTAAATTAAGAAGAAAAATAATGTTAAATTAAGAAAAAAAAATCTCATTTGTAAGAAATCAATTAAACCATTTAATTCGCATAAACGGCAAGTCCAACCCAATTTGGGCCGAGCCTCTCTCATAAATAAGCCCAAACTCGACCCAACTGTCAAAATGTTCAGCCCGCTAGGACCGGTCCAAACAGAAGGGTATTTCCGCCATTTCATATCCTACTCTCCAAAAGCCGGCTCAATTCGCACCTGTGTGGAACTCTCTCTCCCTCATTCGAAGTTCTTCCCCTACAAACTCTTCATCGTAGTCTCAGATCCATCGCTCATTCTCTCACCACCATCGATTGAGGAGGGAGAGAGAAGAGAGAAAGAGAGAGAGAGAGCGAGAATCAGTTTCCATGGGCATGGCGGTTCGAGGTTTCGTGCTTCTTCTTCTGTTCTTATCAGCTGCAAATCTCAGTCTTTCGCTCTACGAAGATCAAGTCGGTCTCATGGATTGGTAAGTTTCAAACGCATACTCTCTCTGCTTCATAACTTAGAAATTATCGGAAAAAAGGATTAAATTTTGAAATTCGATTGGAATCACTTCACTCGATTTCTCTGAATCCAAACGGAAGTTAATATCTGAAGAATTTGATCTTATTTCTATCGAATTGAATCGTAACCGAGCTGTTAATCGAAAGTTTGAATTTTTTTATTTTAGTTTGTGAATTGATTTTTTTGTTTTGCGGGACTTCGAATTGATTTTGTAAGTTTCTGTTCTGTTGCAGGCACCAGCAGTACATAGGGAAAGTAAAGGAAGCAGTGTTCCATACTCCGAAAAGCGGGCGGAGGCGGGTTGTGGTGTCCACTGAGGAGAATGTTATATCATCGCTTGATCTTCGGCATGGGGGGATAAGTAAGTTCCTCACTATTTGAGATGGAATAATCATATGTGAAATCTGTTTTGTAGTCTCGGCTCAAACACTGAACAGAATGTTAACCAGTGCTTTTGTTTTGTGCAGTTTGGAGACGTGTTCTTGGGAGCAATGATGCTATAGACGGAATCGACATAGCATTGGGAAAATGTAATTGTTATGCCTGCATTCATCATTTTTTGTCATAAACTAAATGATTACGGAACTTTGTGATTGAAAGACTCATTTGTCAGGAACAAATAAATTTTATATTATCACGTTATGGAATTGGTTAGATAAAAAAGGGGTTGAATTGGGCCGAATTATGTTTTCTCTTATAGGAATCCATTATTAAACGCTTCCGCAATGAACTTATATTGTTGATCCAAAGGTTGAGCGTTCTATTTCGTTTTTTCAGATGTCGTTACCCTTTCGTCAGACGGAAGTATTTTAAGAGCATGGAACCTTCCTGATGGTCAGATGGTTTGGGAATCTTTTCTAGAGGGCTCGGTGTCCTCTAAATCTTTACTAAGTGTCCCGGTTAGTAAACAACAATTACACTCACTCTTCCAAAGCTTGAATTATGCTACACGATTCAATCTTACATTTAGTGTTTGTGCAGACAAGTTTGAAAGTTGACAAGGGAAATTTGATCCTTGTTTTTGGTAAAGGGTCTCTACATGCTATTTCTAGCATTGATGGTGAGGTTCTTTGGGAAAAGGATTTTGCAGCTGAAAGGTACGCCTACGTAGAGTTTTGCAATTAATGTAATCATTTGTAATATTAATAATACGATTCATTTTTGTATTTAGTAAATATTGCTATTTCATTAATATTCTTGTTGTTTCAATGTTTTCAGTGTAGAGGTTCAACAGATTATTCAGCCTCTGGGCAGGTGATGTAGCTTATGTACTCGGATTTGTTGGTTCTTCCCAGTTTGATGCATATCAAATCAATGTTAGGAATGGAGAGTTGCTGAAGCACAGCAGTGCACCCTTTTCAGGTGGCTTTTCAGGGGAAGCACTGCTTGTTTCTAGTGAAATTCTAGTGACATTGGATTCCACAAGGTCAAAGCTGGTAATTGTAAGTTTTCAGGATGGAGAAATTAACTATCAACAGACACCCATATCCGATATTTTTGGGGATTCTCTTGGAACACCAGTGCTGTTACCTTCAAAACTTCCAGGATTGTTTTCTGTAAAACTTAATGGGGCTGTCATATTCATAAGAGTGACTGATGAAGGAAAGTTGGAGGTGCTGGATACAGTAAATGATGTGGCGGCTATCAGTGATGCAATCTCACTTTCAGACGGGCAACAGGCTTTTGGACGAGTCCAACATGGAGATGGTAAGATCCATCTTACAGTAAAGCCTACTCATGACTCAAGCACTGATCTGCTCAAAGAAAGTATTGTTGTGGACAATCAGAGGGGGGTTGTTCATAAGGTTTTCATAAACAATTATATCCGGACAGACAGGTCTAATGGGTTTAGGGCCTTAATCGTCATGGAGGATGATTCACTTTTGTTGTTACAACAAGGTGCAGTTGTATGGAGTAGGGAGGATGGGCTTGCCTCAATTATTGATGTAGTGACGTCAGAACTACCTGTGGAAAAGGTAGGCGTATCAGTTGCGAAAGTGGAGCAGAACCTCTTCGATTGGCTCAAGGTATGAACTGTGATATGGTTTAATCGAGTTGGAGACTAAGAAGCTAGGTTAAAAAGTTTAAATTTTGGCATGTTTGAGCATAACTGCGTATGTCATCCCACTTTGTAGAATTGCATAGCAGTTTAGTTTCATATGCAGTGTGCATACAAATGCTCTTTTGGTAGTTTGTATACTTTGGTTGTCATTTTGGACCAGGAGTTTTTAGTTAATGTGTCTCATTGACTGTTCTTTTTCTTATTCTTTTTTCATTGATTTTGTGTTATTTTGAAGGGACATGTACTGAAGCTTAAGGGAACCTTAATGCTTGCAAGTGCTACTGATGTTGCCGCTATACAAGAGATGAGGCTAAAAAGTTTTGAAAAGAGCAAACTGACACGTGACCATAATGGTTTTCGGAAGCTCCTCATAGTACTGACGAGAGCAGGAAAACTTTTTGCCTTGCACACCGGATATGGGCAAGTTGTCTGGTCTCTCTTACTGCCTACTCTGCGTAAATCTGAAACGTGCGAGTACCCAACTGGGTTGAAAATTTATCAGTGGCAGGTACCCCATCATCATGCACTGGATGAAAATCCATCTGTCCTCATAGTAGGTCGATGTGGGCAAAGCTCTGAGGCACCAGGTGTTCTTTCTATTGTTGATGCATACACGGGCAAGGAAATTAATTCAATGGCTTCAGTACATTCTATTGTGCAAGTTATACCACTGCCTTTTACTGATTCGACAGAACAGCGTCTTCATCTACTAATTGATGCTAACCAGCGTGGGCATTTATACCCAAGAACATCTGATGCTATTGATATTTTTCGAAGGGAGTTCACAAACATGTACTGGTACTCAGTTGAAGCTGATAATGGCATTATCAAAGGACATGCTTTGAAGGGCAATTGCAACCAGGAAGCTGTAGATGACTATTGCTTTGAGTCCAAGGATATATGGTTGATTGTATTCCCATCCGACTCAGAGAAAATCATTGCAACTGTGACAAGAAAATTGAGCGAGGTATGATTGTGTCTGGCTATCACGTACTATATAGGTGTAACTGTGTAAGGGAACGTAATGTCCTTGAAAATTTTGCATTTTTTCCTTTTGTTGCATCTGTTGTATATATATTTTTAATTTCTTCGCTTTGTTTACTTTTTTATATTATTGGTTCTCTGTATTTTTTGTTATTTCATCTTGTAGATCATTCCCTCTTTACTTTGTCATGTAGATTCTATCATTCCACTGTCAATCTTTTAACAAACCTTGGTCTTACTAGTTCTCTTGGAATGGCCAGTTTTGTTGGAAAGAGGATTCGGTGGTGTGATTTACTACT